GTGTGTGGGCAACTCATGATGGTAATTGCTATTTGTCAATTTCATACAATTTAGAATCCCTGAGGAGTCACATCTCCAGATACACCTTTGAGGGATTATCTAGGTCAGTGTTTCTCAACCTGTGGGTCTCCAAATGACTCTTTCACAGGGGTTGCCTAAGACCATTGGAAAACACAGATATTTACAGTATGATTCCTAACAGTAGCAAAATTACAGTTATGGGGTAGCAATGGTTTGAGGGGTCACTACAACATGAGGAACTGTATTAAAGAGTCATGCATTAGGAAGGTTGAGAACCGTTGATCTAGATTAAGGTTAACCTCTGGGAATATCTGTAGTGAATCAGCCTGACTATGCTAATTTATGTTGAAGACTCTTTTTTTTTTTTTGGTTTTTCAAGACAGGGTTTTTCTGTATTGTTTTGGAGTCTGTTCTGGAAGTTGCTCTGTAGTCTAGGCTGGCTTTGAACTCACAGAGATCCCCTTGCCTCTGCCTCCCGAGTGCTGGGATTAAAGGCATGTGCCACCAATGCCCAGCCTGGAAGACCTACCTTAATAGTGGGTAGGATTGTACCCTGGCTGGAATCCTGGACTGTAGAAGCACAGGAAGGTAGCTGAGCAGCAGGGAGCATAGCATCCTCTCTCTCTCTCTCTGTCTCTCTCTCTCTGTCTCTCTCTCTGTCTCTGTCTCTCTGTCTCTGTCTCTGTCTCTGTCTCTGTCTCTCTGTCTCTGTCTCTCTGTCTCTGTCTCTGTCTCTCTGTCTCTGTCTCTGTCTCTCTGTCTCTCTCTCTCTCTGCTTTTCAATCAGTTGCAATGTGCCCAATTGCTTCAATCCCCTGCTACCTTCACTTCCTTACCATAATGGACTGTACCCTTGAACCATGAGACAGAATAAACCCTCTCTCCCTTGCCTTTATCAGAATATTTTACCACAGTAACAGTAAAAGTAACTAAGACACCACGCCAGGTAGATATACCCCATTTCTCTTCCCTAAACTTCCTTTCTGTTTCAAGACAGCAAAAATGGTGTCTGCTCTCCTCCTTTTCCTCCTCCTCCTCCTCCTCCTCCTCCTCCTCCTCCTCCTCCTCCTCCTCCTCCTCCTCCTCTTTTCCTTCTTATCCTGTTAGCCAGGGCTCTCCTGGAACTATGTAGCCTGTGCTGATATCAAACTCTCAGTCTTTCTGTCTCAGGCTCCCAAGAACCACCAGACCCAGTTCCTGATATTCTTTTAAACTTCTCTTTAGTTCCTCCGGCAACTCCTTTCCTCTTCAAAATTTAGCAGGTTCCACAGGTAACTATAAGTAAGATCCCAATTAAATGCTTTCTTTTACAAGCATTGCCTTGGCCATGGTGTCTCTTCATAGCAATAGAACAGTGACTAAGATGAGGTTCAGCAACTGGAGATGTTCTTCTTGAATTAATTACTCAAAAATAAAACATCTTGAGATCTTGATTCTTAATTCCAGGTAGCACAATCAGGAATCGATTCTGAATGTTTCTTATCCTGCCTTCTAAAGGTATTTCATTCTCATTTTTACCACCAAAGTAAGCGTTGTAGAAACCATAACATTAAAGACAAAGACGGTGACTGCCTCTGATAAAATTAGGTCCAAGTTACTAAAATGCAAAAGTTGGAATCTTAAAAATCAGGTCACAGGGCCATAGTAAAGCTGTCTATGGAGCATGTGAACACTTATTATTCATTACCTACACTAGACCATTCATCTTTGAGCCACATATCCTTAAGTGATGGCATCTTCATCCTCATTTTTACAGATAAAAAGTGAACTGAAAAACACCCAGCAAGAAAGGAAATGACTTCAGTTCTAATCCGGATCTGTCTTCCAACAAGACACGTTTCACCAAGGAGACACCACCATTCAAAATGGAAGTCACCTCCCTTGTCCTCTAAGAACACTGCTCACCCAACCCACTTCCAACTGTAAAACCACAAACCTAGTTTCAGACCCCCACCCTCAAACCCTTTTTTCTTGTGACTCACCCTTGTAGGGTAAGTTGCTTCTTCCTCTCACATCTCCACTCCATCTCCCATCCCTCCTTGCCTGTGGCCACCTTCACACCCACAGGTATAGGACCAAATTGGCAGGCTTTGAACTTGCTTTTTTCAAGGACCACTTTTACCTGGTGGGACACTCCTTTCCTCATCCATACTTCCCTCCGCCTGTTGCCATCTCTGCACCCACAGACCTCACACCAGACTCAAGGTTTGGGAGCCAGCTTTTCCTCATCAAGTCAAATGGCTTAGCCACAAGTTTTACCTAGCCAGGCAAACTTCTGCAGTGGCCCACACTCGTGCACTTCTTGAGTTTCTGCACTGGCCCAGTCTAAGACAGACCAGTTTATCACATCAGACGTGCAACCAAAGACAGAAGTCCACAGGCCCAAGTCAAATTGTAAAAACAAAAACAGCATGAATGGCCAAGAGAGTATGTCTCTCATCAACCCCACTGGTCCTATAGAAGTGATATCTAATGAGAACTACCTAGGTGAACCCTAGGATCCAGAATCTAAGAGAATATTGATAAAATGTTTCAAAAATTCAAGGAATTTAATGAAAACATGAACAGACATAAGGTAAAGAATCTAGATTAAATAATTAAAGAATAAAAAATTAATCACAGGAAAGGAACATGCAGGAAATGTGAGACACTACCAAAAGACCAACTCTTCAAATTATAGTCGTAAACCCTGGAAAAAAAAATCTAGGTCAATGGTAGAGATCAGATCTTTAACAAGATCATAGAAGAAAACTCCCCAAGCTAAGGAAAGACACACCCATGCTTACACAAAAACCACACAGAACCCAACTAGACAAGTTCACAATAGACACCCACAGCATATCATAATTAAAACACTAAATATACAGAACAAAACCATTGAAAGTTGTAATAGAAAAAAACCACAAGTAATCAAAAACATATAATCAAAAACCCTCAGAATAACAGCTGATTTCTCTGAAAGCCAGAAGAGCCTGGAACAATGCATTCCAAATTCTAAAGGACCAAGACTGCCAACTGATACTACTGTACCCAGTGAAACTATCCACCACAGATGAAGGCAAAAGAAATCCTTTGCAGGATACAAACAGCCTTAAATTTTACATTGAACCAACAAAGAAGCAAAGCTAAACAGAATATGGGAAGCATAGTCTTTTATTTATTTATTTATTTACCTATTTCTTTATTACTATTGACATCCTGACCAAAGTTTCTCCCTCTCTTCTCCTTTCCCACACCTCCCCTCTGCCTACCCCCATCTACTCCTCCATTTCTATCCAGAAAAGGACAGTTCATCCAAAGATATCAACCCAACATGGCACATCAAGTTACAGTAAGATTAAGCACCTTCCCTCAGACTAAGGCTGAACAAGGCAACCAAGTATGAGGAGTAGGGTCCCAAAAGCTGGCAAAAAGAGTCAGAGACAGTTCCCACTCCCATTGTTAGGAGTTCCACAAGAATACCAAACTGTACAACTCTATCATATATTCAGAGGGCCTAGGGCAGATCCAAGCAAGCTCTCTGGTTGTTGGTTCAGTCTCTGTGAGCATGAGCCCAGGGTAGTTGAATCTGTGGGTTTTATTGTGGTGTTCTTGACCTCTCTGGCTCCTACAATCCTTCCTCCCTCTCTTCCCCAGGATTCCCCATGCTCTGCCTCATGTTTGGCTGTGGGTCTCTGCAACTGTTTCCATCAATTGCTGGATGAAGCCTCTGTCATGACAGCTGGGCTGGGCACCAATTTATGAGTATAGCAGAATTAATAGGGGATACATAGCCGGAATTGGCTATCTCCTGGAACCAGGCATAACTTCCAGTGGAGGGATTGGGATACCAACCCAGTCACAAAACCTTTGACCTACAATTTGTCTTGCCTACAAGATGTGCTGCGGTAAAGATGGCACAGAAATTGTTCGAGTTGCCAACCAATGACTGATACAGCCTGAGATCCATGCCAAGAGAGCGAGCCCATGCCTGACACAGCCTGGACAGCCAGGACCCAGAGGCTGAATAGCCCAGAGTCCTAGGATAGAGCCAGACACAACTGTCAAAAACAAAAGCATCATTTTTTAAAATGGAAATTACCACCCTAGTCCTCTAAGAGAACTGTTCATCCAACCCACTTCAGTCTGCAAAACCAAAAGTCTAGTTTCAGAGCCACGCCTGCAAGGCCTTTTTGTTTGTGAGCCACAAACAACCAAACTGAAGAAAGAAATTAACACAGACTCGATGGGAGAAACAAGACAAAGAGATAATTAAATAAAATACAAAGTACAATATCTTAGGGTGACTACTGCTGTGATGAAACACCAGGACCAAAGCAAGCTGGGGAGGAAAAGTTTATTTGGCTTACATTTCCATATCACTGTCACTGAAGGGAGACAGGACAGGAACTCAAACAGGACAGGAACCTGGAGGCAGGAACTGATACAGAGGCCATGCAGAAGAACTGCTCACTGGCTTGCTCCCCATGGCTTATTCAGCCTGCTTTCTTATAGATTTCAGGATCACCAGCCCACAAAGGACTGGGCTTCCCTGGTCAATCACCAATTAAGAAAGTGCCCAACAGGTTTGCCTCCAGCCAGATCTGAAGGAAGCATTTTCTGTTCTCAAATGACTTCAGCTTCTGACAGGTTAACATAAAATGATTCAGCACAATTGACCTCTCGTCAGCTTGACACACAAGCACATCACTGTTAAACCATAACCTCTCCTTTCTCAAAATCAACACCACCCTATAAAACATTTTACAAACGTAAAGGGTCCCATAGTCTTTATAAACTCAAACACTTTAAAATCCAATCTCTTAAAATCCAATCTCTTTTAAAAACTAAAATCTCTTTAAAATTTCAGTCTCCCATCTCTGAGTAAAATCAAAAATAAGTTAAATACTTCCTTTCTTCAAGACGAAAGAATCAGGGCACAGCCACAATCAGATCAAAGCAAAACTGAACTCAATGTCTAATACCTGGGATTCACTCACCATCTTCTGGGCTCCTCCAAAGGGCTTTGGGACACTTCTACAGCTCCACCGTCTGCAGCACACACAGCTCATCTACTAAGCTCTGGGGGGGAATCCATTCCATAGCTACTGCTGTTCTTGAGGGTCATCCCATTGTGTGGCATCTCCAAAGTTCCGGAATACCCTGCCGAAGCTGGGCTACACTTTCATCAGTAGCCTCTCCTGAGCTCTCTTCAGGGACTCCAGCCTAGCCTAACAGTCCTAACAGTGCCAAGCCTCAGCTGCTCTCTATGACCCCTTCATGCCCATACCACCTGGGAGACTCTCAGACCATCAAGTTCTGCCGCCAATAGAAGGTAGAACCTTGGTTGCCTCTGGAACACAGATTCTGTGTGCTGACCCTGAGGAAACACTTCCCTGAAGATTTCACCTCAATGCTGCTGCTGTCTTATTAATCACAGCTGATTTTTCAGCCCCAGCTGACCAGCACCAAAGGTCACTCAAAATATGCAATGGCTCCAATGGATGTCTTTAACTGACTCTCAATCCTCCCTCTGGACCTTCACAAACAGGCCTCCATCAACTTCTTTCGCTCAACATTCTTATCACCCAACCTCCCACAGAACAGCTCACCAAGCTTTGAACACTTACTGGCTTTTCTAGCCTGTGCCACCACTGAACCTCCTCTATTACACCCATCTGTAGGGAGAAGACTTCCTGCCAGCCTGGTTCCAGAGCCACATCAGTCACAAATGAAAACACAAGAGGCTATGTTAATTATGAAGCTGTTGGCTGTTTGCTTGATTTCTTACTGGCTATCTCTGACTTAAGTATTTAACTCATAATTGTTAATCTAAGTATTTTCTCTTACTGGAGAAAGGGATCAGGACCTCTTATTCCTATGGTGGCTACATGATGTCTCCCTGTGTTTCTCTCTCCCAGAATCTGCCTCGACTCCTAGTCCTACCTATCTTGCTTCCCTATTGGCCAACAGTGCTTTATTGACATATACACAGGACTTCCCCATCACCCATCACATCTTTTTATTAATTTATGTTTTACGTTCCAATCCCAGTGACCCTCCCTCCTCCCCTCTCACTTCCCCACTCCCCCTCCCACCTCCCATCTGCTCCTTGGAGAGGGTAAGGCCTCCCCTAGGAGGTCTAGTAAGTCTGTCCCATCATCTTGTTGAGGCAGGACCAAAGCACCTCTCCACCCCTCCCCCATGCCTCAATCCAGGATGACAAAGGTATCTCTCCATATAAAATGCACTCCACTAAGTCAGTTTGCGCATTAGAGTTAGATCTTGGACCCACTGCCAGTGGCCTCATATATTGTCCCAGCCACACCATTGTCACCTATATTAAGGGAGTCTAATTTGGTCTTATACAGGTTCCCTATTTGTCAGACTCAGGTCAGCTGATTCTGTGGGTTTCCCCATCATGGTCGTGACTCCTTTGTTCATATTATCGCTTCTTCCTCACTTTGATTGTACTGCAGGAGCTTTGGCCCAATGGTTAGTTCTGGATTTCTGCATCTGTTTCCATGTGTTTCTGGAAAAGGGTTTAGTTTCTCTGGGTTGTGGATTGTAGGCTGGGTATCTTTTGCTTTAAATCTGGTATCCACTTATGAGTGAATACGTACTATATTTGTCTGTCCTTGGGTTACCTCACTCAAGGATGGTTTTTTTCTAGTTCTGTCCATTTGCCTATGAATTTTAGGATGTCATTGCTTCTTACCGCTAAGTAGTACTCCATTGTGTAAATACACCACATTTTCTTTATCCATTCTTTGGTTGAGGGGCATCTAGGTTGTTTCCAAGATCTGGCTGTTACAAATAATGTTGCTGTGAACATAGCTAAGCAAATGTCCTTGTGGTGTGAATGTGCTTCCTTTGGGTATATGCCCAACAGTGTACCAATCACATTTTAGAGCATTCATTTAGTTACCTGATCATATGATTCTTTCCCAGACAGAAGCTTCCTCTAAAGACAATGTCTCTCATTCATCTCTCCTATACAGCCAACTGCCTTGCTAGGTGGGAAGTGTGCTGTTCAGTGATATGTTTCCATTCATGCACACCCTCATATGAATCATACAGAGAATTATTTCTGATTTGTCCCTTACCCACTACTCCTGAATCTTTGCTTCTGATCTTCCCCTTGGCTACAATATCCTGCAGGCTCTTTTCAGTTTAGCCTTTTATTTCTTTGAATATTTTCTGTAATCAATATGTAGAATGTACCAAATCCTTAAAATGGTTCTATTATATATTGTTTCTCTTGTTCAATTGACTTGTTTCCTTGCATAGTTTGTGTTAGGGGACTGTTAATTAATGTTTTTGTCAAGTGCCCTAACATAGGGCAAGAATGAGTTTAGGTTAATTTTATGGCTATAACTTCCTGTTCACTATCGTACTATAAATTCAAACCCCACCTTCACAAAAACAGGTGTTTGGGCTCCATGCATTAATACAGTAAAATACCTGAGGGTGGGTGATTTAAAGATACAGACATGTGCTGTTTCACTGTTCTGGAGGCTGGGAAGTTCAACACCAAAGCAAGTGTGTGTTTATTATTCTATTACATTAAGCAGAGGACTATTCTGTTGCAAAACCATCAGAATATTAAGCCTTTTAAACAGCCCAGAAAGCTGAGAATGTCGTGGGAAGTAGCAATAAAATATTCAGGCTTTGCTTTTGACAAAACTGGATTAAATCCCAAGTGCTATTGATCACTTAGAGAAACGATTCAGCCTTTCTAGGATAGAAAATATCCTGTTTAACTTAAATGATATTGAGACAAAGAGATTATATGCACAAATAGGTAGTCAGGCCAAGATGATGGTCCATGAAAACAACTTGTTCATTGATAATCTCACGACACATTTGAAGATGTCTTATGCATTATGTATTTAAATGGGAATCTGATCTATGTTTGTATCCTAGTGTGTGAATTGTGGACAAGAAGCCTCAGCAATAACAGAAATGGGGAGTTGAAAAAGATGTATTCCTGGACCTTGCACAAAAGCAGACCTCCATCCAATCAGTAACAACCACAAACCTTGACTGAGCGCTCACTACATCATCTACCAACTGATGCCAATTGACTGTTTCCTAGTGCTAATGAGAACTCCCCTGGGCTGTCAGTCTGCCTTTGCCCTCCTTGACCTCTCTGTTGGTGTCTTGTCCTATGATGCCCAGGAAGTTTGGGTCTTGCCTACTTCTTGTTCTTCAGGGGAAAGCAAGGTTGATTCCTTTCCTTCTATCTTGGCATTTGGAGCCTCAGGCAGAAAGTTAGAGATGGGGTGACTCGAAGCTGTGCCAGATTCTTCCGGGCTTGCTTGCAGCTATACCTACATTATTCACTGGAACTGCTGGACTCTGCACCTGGAGCTGCAGCCTGGGAAACAAGCTAGCCTAAGGAGAGTAAGCAAAGAGATCACACATTTATTTACAACCCAAGCCCTAGAGGAGGCAGAGAGTGTGCTAGTGGGCAGCTGGTTCCTCTGGGAATAGAGCCTTGGCTCCTTTGGGAGCTGTACACATATCCTTGCTGACTCAACCTGTTTAAGGCCTTGCCTTATAGCCTTCAGACCCTCACCTCCACCCCACCACTCAGTGCCTCTGTTCACTAGGGCTCCTGAACACTGTAGCTTCATGGCACCTAACTCCTTTGTCATTTCCTTCTATACAGTCAATGGGATTCCTACCCTATGCTCACCCTGCCTTTCCACACCCTCTATGCTCTATCATTTTTATTATCCCACCACTTCTGACTCAGTCAATTCTGGATCAGATGGTCTGGGTCCAGAAAAAATGGACAGGCAGTCAGAAGTTCAAGGAGAACAATGAGAAACTTGCTGGGCTGAATCCCCAGAGCTGCACAGTTCTCTGCTGTGGGTCCTTTGACCCACACATGGGCCAGATTGTCAGATGATGTGCTAGTAAGGCTGTTGTCCTACTATGGGGTCCAGGTGAGGGTGTCACCGCTTTTGTTGGTCTATTATACTTAATAAGTTTTTGGATCTTTTTCTGATGCAGTTTTTAGGTACCTGTGTGTTCTCAGAGTGATCTGATAAGTTTTATAAGTGGCACCTTCTTGCTTTCATGGGTTAGTATTTATCTTGATGCAACTCCCAAATGGTGCTAGGCACAACATGTGGTAGTATCACTGTGCACAGACAAAGGACAGGGTTATTCTGCCTCTGCATTTACATTCAAAAATCAGACCGAATGCTTGCAAAATTGAGCCTGCCTGGGAAAGGCATGTCTGAAAGCCATTGTCTCACACACTTGACAGCAGGACAAAGCCTGATCGCAATTTGTATGCATGAGAAGAGCTTGAGACAGGTAGAGAACCGAGAACAATGACAGCAGAAATCTGGGTGTCAATGAGACCCTCAAAAGACCTGGAGTGGACTTGCCAGATAACTCAGCAAGTGAATGTGCAAGCCCAATCTGATGATGGGAGTTTGATCTCTAGGACCCAAATAGTGGAAAAAGAGCTCAGATGCTTTGGAAAAGACCTGGGGATGCCTGTACTTATGACCATTACTGGTTGCATGACTCTGTAAGATTTATGGGGCTATTTCTTATGAACTGTCACTCACTTGACCTTCACAATGACCTGTGACTCAAAAATATTTAGGTTTCAAACAAACAAACACTTAGGTTCAGAGAGTTTGAAGTAACACCCAAGGTCATTGCTGGCGGCAGCAGCTGGTTTCTAGTTAGAAAACTACAAAGCACTTTGCATGAGTGTAGGTGTTCACTATGTTTAGTCGCCTAGGGCTAATTTTAAAACTTTGTTCTTACATAGTTTTAACATTCCCCTAGAGTAAAAGATTTCCCAATATTAATTTAAACTGCGGGCCACTTCTTTGGTTTAAATTTCTTCTGGTAAGTGCTAGCTTGACCTTCATTCATGGCATAGGTAGTGAGCCAGCCTCTGAAGTGGGGAAATGAGCACACTTCTGAAGTCTAGTTCTTTATGTCCAGTCTCCTGGGCCAGCCCAGAATTTCCAACCTTATACTTTTCAGACATTTCTAGCATTTTTATGGCATTTAGTGTAGCATAGAAAAGACCGACTTCTTTCCCATCTCCAGTTGCTGTCATATTTAGTGAAGATTAAAAGAATGATGTCAAGTCAGAGCATCTTAATTCTTAAATTCTGAAGCCGTACTCCAGATCCAAGCCCACAGGACATACATAACTGAGATAACTGAACTGGACTGATAACAAATAGTGACCCCCCCTCGATTTTTGGTTTCTGCTTCCCTCCCTGTTGTTTGTGAGGAGTGTGTTTTGTTTTATTTTGTTTTGCTTTGTTTGGGTCACGGTGAGTTACCAAACACTTCATTATGAAAGAGAAGGTCCTGTAAAGTCTTCCAGCTCAACTCCTAACCAATGTTGGACGGTTTCCCTTCCCAGCAAGAAGACTCTCTTCCACAGGGAGAAGGGCCACCAGCCATCACCAGGCTTGGAACATAGAGCAGATTGGATCCCAGGCTCTTCTGCCTCCCTGGGCTGTTAAACTGTAGGGACAAGGGATAGGGCCTAAAAATAGAATGTCACCATTGTCTTGGGGCAAAAACTAAGCACCCTCAGATCGTCCATGTCAGGGTACCCAGCCTTTGACCATGATTTGCTCTAGGCCTTAGGTTTTAAAGTCCATGTATTGATTTTCAAGGTCTCTGTATCACAAATGATGACTTAAAACAGCAGACGTCTTGTGCATTCTGTCACAGTCTCTGTGACTTCATATGTACATCTGCCCTGTTGTGTCTAGAAAATGTTATTTATTTACAATTGTCCACCACCTCTTGTTCTTACAATCCCTCCGGCCCCTCTTCTGCATAGACCCCTGAGTCTCAGGGTAGGAGAGTAATAAAGACATCCCATTCAGGGCTGAGCAATCTCAAGTCTCTCCCTCTCTGTACATTGTCCAGCTGTGGGTTTCTGTGTTATTTTCCATCCACTCCAAAAGCTTCTCTGCTGAGGGTCAAGTGGTACAATGATCTATAGGTATAGCAATATGCAATCAGAGTCTTCTTTTTTTGTTTGTTTGTTTTTTGTTTTCAAGATAGGGTTTCTCTGTGGCTTTGGAGGCTGTCCTGGAACTAGCTCTTGTAGACCAGGCTGGTCTCAAACTCACAGAGATCCACCTGCCTCTGCCTTCTGAGTGCTGGGATTAAAGGCGTGTGCCACTACCGCCCAGCATAATTAGACTCATTTTTATTACTATGCTCCTTTAGCAGAACAGTGGTAGATTTTTTTTCCCCTTAAGCCCATGACCCATCTAATCTCAGGCTCTTGGCTTCATTAACAATGTCAGAAATGGGTTCCAGCTCATGGAGTGGGCCTTAAATCCCATTTTTAAAAGTGGTTGGTTACTCCCCTAACATTAATGGCACTATGGGTATCTTGCAGGTAGTTTGTTATTACAGTTCTCAAGCTTCATAGCTGAATGAGACCGATAATTACTTTTCTCTTCTGGTACATGTATAGTACCTTCTAGCACTGTAAATGCTAACCATTAGGAGGGTGAAGCTACCAGGTGAGTACCGGTTAGATTTTCCCCATGTTCTCTGCCATAAATTTATGGTGTCTTCAGCAACAGTGTCTTACTGCCTCTAGTCCAGGCTGACCTGAAAGTAGCTACAGAGCCCTCACTGGACTCAAATTGAAGCAATCCTCCTGTCTCAGCCTCCTCGGGCCTGAGATTGCCAGGACCTTCTTTTTCTTAAAAGGATGCAAGTCATTAGGTTTCGAACTATACTTAGTACGTCCTCACCTTAATTGATGTGATCACAAAGTTCTGTTTCCAAATGAGGTGACAGTCAAAGGTTCCAAGTGATATGAATTTGGGGGAGATGATATTTGTCCCAGTCTGTGCCCTGCCACCTGATAGTCTCTGACCAGAACTCTAAGTTGCCTGAAAGTCTCCACTATTATGTCTCCCTACCCCAGTTTTAAGGTTCCTTTGTTCCTATGTCCTCTCTGGGGTCTAAATCAGTGGTGGCAAATGGAAGGAAGGAGAAAGCAAAGCAAATGCCAGCCACTGTAAATCTCTAAAAATATTTCACCTTGAAACTTTACACAAAAAGGCACAACCTCATTAGCAACAATCTTGAGTTTTCTGTGACCCACGGGCAAATTCCAAGGGATACCAATGGCCTGAGTCTTAGAATTGCGTCCGGAATAAAACAGGTTAGATATTAATGACCCCCCCCTTTGCCACACCATTTCCCATGGAATCGGGAGAGCAAGCACTGAAGGCATGCCTTTGTGACACAGCACAGCTATCAATCCATTCTCTGCACCAGAATTGTAACCCTCGCACCAAAGTGAGTCACTCTGGTGCACTCAGGGTCTACTTACAGAGAATACAGGGGACCTGCCAGCTAAACTCCTTGACAGAAGCATAATAATTAAAGCGTGATTAAGCCTGTATATTAACAACCAAATAACGCTTATTCCCTAAGCTGAGTTAAGATCTTTCTCTTTCCATTATTCCACTTACTGCAGGTAGTCCAAACACTTCTTTGACTTCAGGAAGATGTGCAGACCAAACCTGGCCAATCAGACCACTGAAGTCATCCAGACATCAGAGTTGGATGAAAGATAGTTGCTGGAGACAGTGAGGACCAATGAAAAGCGATAGGACTGTGTTGGCCGCCATGTAGCCATTATGGAGTTAGGCAGAAACAGAACCTAGAAAAAGAACAGCAGAGCTGAGAGAATTATCCAGACCAAGTCTTGATGACTTCAGTTGAGCTCTGGTTTGAGCCAGCTGGAGATGGAACAAAAGGCTCTCAGACTTTCAGTTACCTGAAAAAGTCCATTCTCTGCTCTGCTTGCCTGAACTGGATCTTCTGTCACTCGCCACAGAGTGCCCTAAAATAGCAGGGTACAAACAACCCTCAAGGACATGTGCAATGACTCACCTAGGAGGAGGCTCTGCAAAGGGCACCTTTGTCTCTTCCCAAGAGCAGAGTAGGCCACTCTGAACCAGTGTTACCACCACAGTTACCAGAGGACTCTCCCCCGGATCTCAAATTGTTCTTAGCCATCTTATCGTGATCTTCCTTTGCTCTCAGTCTTTGTTTATATATCTGGTCTGCACATTCAACTTCCATCAACCCTGGACCAGTGGTTCTCAACCCATGAGTCACCACCCCTTTGGGGGATAAATGATGCTTTTGCAAGGATCACATATCAGATATCCTGCACATCAGATATTTACATTACAATGACAATAGTAGAAAACTACAGTCATATAAGTAGCAATGAAATAATTTTGTGATTGGGGGTCACCACAGTATGAGGAACTATATTAAAGGGTCACAGCATTAGGAAGGTTGAGAATCACTGCTTTAGATGGAAATGGAAAATATAATGCTTTCGATAGTGTGTAACTATATCAATCTTATCTCTCTTGAGTCCCTATCCTCTGATTAGCAATATTAATGCAACCCTGTCTAAACGTACTCTCATCCAATCATGTAAACAACTTTTTTAAGGGAATACACTGACTCACTCAGATGAAAGTCTCAGTTGCTTAGACTTCCCTCTCCTGGTTTTTGCACAAAATGGTTTACAGAGTTTTAGGAGGAAAACTGCTTGCTAGTCCTGGGCCAATGAAATCTAAGTGCCTTGGGTTGGTATTTTCTGTCTCTTCCCAACTGGATATAATCTCTATGCATCAGAGAAAAGCTTGGATTGTTATCAACACTGGGTAGACTGAAGTATGGACATCTCCCAGGATGGTCCTACTTCTCTGTGTTGCCTGCATCTTAGCAACACTGCATGCTTACCAACCCACCAGTTTGGTGCTGACTAGGAAGGTCAACACCAACACTGGTTGGTCACCTCCACCTGCTATGATGAATGTCACAGTAAGCCTGCAGCTACCAGCTCAACATCTACCCACCTAGTGACAAAAGTAAGGCCCCAAGACCTTCCAGGGACACTGTGTGCAACAGACAGACATGGCTGTCTCTTGAGTGATGTGTGACAAACTTCTTGATGTGGTGCTCACATTCCAGCTGCATTTATTGTCAACCTGACTGATCCACTGAGGGAATTAGTGAGGACACCTCTGAGCATGTCCGTAAGAGTGTTTCCAGGCACAATTAGATTGTAAGAACCCTGAATGGCACTATGGAGAGGTGGTTAGAGGTAGGAGGTAGGAGGTAGACCTATTTGGTAGAAGTAGAGCCCTGGAGGGATGTTTTGGGGCAGGTATCCTACTCTGTTCTCGTCCTGCAATTCTTTTCTCTGCTTTCTGGTTAGTCTTGGCGTGACTGGCTATCCTCCTTCCCCAGCTACTGTTGTCATGATGTTCTGTCCCAGAAACAAAGGACTGAGTCCTCTAAGACCATGAGCCAAAATAAATCTTTTTAAAAGTTACCTCTATCAGGTAATAGTACACAAGTAACTAACTAATACACTAGCCATGGCCTGGAAAGGACAACTCAACAAGCCTGCTACCTACCAGCCCATATTCTTACCTCCTTTCTGCCTCCATTCTGAAGGTTAGAAAAGGATCTGCTGGGGGCTGGAGAGATGGATCAGAGGATAAGAGTATGGGCTCCTCTTCCAGAGGTCCTGAGTTTAATTCCCAGCAACCATATGGTGGCTTACAACCATCTATAATGAGATTTGGTATCCTCTTCTGGCCTGAAGGCAAAAATGAAGGCAGAACTATATACATAATAAATAAATAAATCTTTTTTTTTTTTTTTGGTTTTTCGAGACAAGGTTTCTCTGTGGCTTTGGAGGCTGTCCTGGAACTCACTCTGTAGACCGGGCTGGCCTCGAACTCACAGAGATCCGCCTGCCTCTGCCTCCCGAGTGCTGGGATTAAAGGCATGCGCCACCAACGCCCGGCTTAAATAAATAAATCTTAAAAAAAAAGTCTGCTTGTGTTTTGCTTCCTCTACCTCACAAGTTCTTTCGCTATGACATCATCCAAGCAAATCTTCTCCTGTGCTGTGGTAGATATTTTTGAGATAGACCATTCAGGCTCAGTTGCTGAGATATGGAAATTTATTTTCAAGACAATAGTCTGACTGCACAGCTATCTTCCTGTTGAAAGATCAGATCTGAATTGCAAGGACTAAATATCAAGTTGTGTTTCCTCTGCATTTCAAAAATAACTTTCACATTCCCTTCCACATTTGAACAGAAAAAAAATGCTTGAGACAGATCTATTGAGAGCTGCCTAAAAGGATTTAATGCCACAATGCACAGGCTCTGTATCCGTGCTCTTGCAGTAGCCACTGGCTGTGTGTGACCACTGAACGTCTGAAATATGTGCAATGTCCTGGAGATTGGCCCCCAGTGACCTAATGGCAACCCAGTAGGCCTCGCTTCTTGAACTTCTCACCCCCTCCTAGTAAGCCTTTAACTCGTGAGCTTTTGGGAGATGTTCCAGACCCAACCTTTAGGAGACAGAGAGAGGAAGCGATCTAAAGCATGACTCAAAGAAGGGGCCACCTTGCCAATATCAGTCTTGTTTTGAAGATTAGGTTTTGTCCAGAGCATGATGAAGAACGACGCTTGTACACTGTGATGATTAATCTCTATTGTCAACCTGACGGGATGTAGGATCACCTAGGACACACAGAGGTGTTTAGCTGGAGTGGGAAGACACTCTGAATGTGGGCAGCAGCATCCCCATGAGCTGGATTCCCAGACCAAATAAAAAGGAAGTTAATAGTACATCAACATACATCTCTGCTTCCTGACTGTGGACCCAACGTGACCTGATATTCCAGCAGCCACACCTTCCCCATCCTGACCATCTGTACCCTCAAGCTGTGAACCAAAATAAAACCTGTGCTCTATTAGGTTGCCTTTGTCTGATACTTTGTCACAGTAAGAGAAGAGTAACTAATACACCTAGTTTTTAGCACTTTCTTACCTAGCTTGCATCCCAAAGCACAGGGAACTTCGGTAGCACCTCTGGGTGTCAGAAGAATCCAATGTCTTATTTGAAGTCATACGCCGGGAACTGCTTATGATCTAGGTTGGCACAGAGTTAGGGATAGGTATGAAGGAGAAGGTGCCAGGAATAATATGCTAGAGTGAGGAAAGGTGTGATCATTTCAGAAAAGCGTTGATGAAAGAGCGTAGTTAGCCCAAGACAGCACCAAATTACTCAAAGAACTGATGCACTAAGCCTTCAGGCCGCTGTCCTCCAGCCCTTTGGTAGCAGAAGCACTTACAGTCTCACACTTACGGTCTTCATGCTCAGGCATGTTTCAGCTTGCCAAGATATTTGTATGCACACAATCTTATTGGACTGCCTGGCAACCCTGTAGCAATAGCAAAGAAGGACTCTGAGATCAGTCTTAGGTGAAAGGTCTTGACTCGCAGTCCATGGCATTTTTCTTTCTAGTCAAGGGTGGACTGCTTGCTCCAAAGATCAGTATGGATCACTCTGCTGCCTAAGCTGCCTCCTCTCCAGCCACTGCAGCAGCAGGAACAAAAGCTGGAGCATCCTTTAATTGCTTATGTCACGTATGATCAGCCTCACCTTGCAAATGAGTCACAAAGAGTCCCAGAGTGCCCACCAAAGAGGAATCTATGTCCCTTTGCTGCAGGGGTGGAGCCATCTGCGATGCAAACCTGTGGTGTGAGCCTGCATCCTGTTAACAGGAAGCCCAGCCTAGGCCGGGCATGCCAGCCCAGCTGCCAGAACATGTCTCTGTTAGTCATCACATTGCCTCCCTCAGGACAGCTCTGCAGAGCTCACACAGGCAGACTGCTTGCTGACTCTGGCAGCTCTGCGGCTGATGCTTCATCAGTGCTTCTGCATGGGTATTTGTGGGGACACGCTCTGTGTACAATCCCTCTTCTGTTCCCCGAAGATACTTACCTTCCCGTGTGTTTCCTCCTTACTCTCCCCTGTGACCTAGGATCCCGGAATGGTAGGCAGCTTATCCTTCCTCTGCTGAATTGACACCAGATCCTACAGGCACAGGTAGCTCCTGCTTCCTTCCTGATATATTCCTTCAGGAAGTATTCTCGGAAGGGGCTCCGGGCTCCTTGGAACAGTATTGACTTTCCTATACAGAAGCAGCAAGGCCTAGATACTCAAGAACCACCCACCAGGAGGCTAATTCTTCCTACAGCCAATGCCCCAAGTCTACCCTTCATACAGGAGGCCTGAAGGGAGGGGAAGCAATGGGGCTTGTGACTGGAAGAGTGACCCATTCTGTGCTAGATGCGTGACTGCAAGCAAGCCATTCCATTCCTCTTCCCTGGTCACCCTCTGGCCCAGCTTTCAACAGTGCAAGGGAAGCGGGCATTCTCGCATCACAGTTTACATTCATCCATTCATACCCTGGGTGCCAGGTGCTCTGCTAGGGAGTGGGGAGCTGCTACAGCACACGGCAGCCCCTGTTGCCTACAGAGCTTCCTGTAGAGTTCTCAGAGGAAAGTAGTTCCCCCGCTGGACATGGCGCCTGGAATGAATGAAGTCATGTCTCACGAATGCCTGTGGACTCAACCTGTCCCCTTGCTCCAGGCTGCTATGAGAGGTTACTAGGAGGGACAGAATAAGCCTTTTGTAGAGAACATTGGGAGATAAGAGAAATGTCAGGGGCTGGGGTATTTGACTGTGGCCTGGATGGAGACTGAACTCTGCTAAGCAGTTCCCAAGTAGAAGTGTAGAAAATTCCTAGCCTCAAGACCACTGGGGTGTGACAGCTAGAAGGTGCTTGCTGAGGAGAGCCCAGAAGCAAGGCAAGACCATTCAGGGCACTCAAGCTTAAGCATCTGGGCCCTGAGGCAGATTTACAGGCTAACTGCAGTGGCATACCACAGGGGTATCCTCCGACTCTGCATGGGACAAGTAGGCCTATCATAAAGAAACCAGGGGCTGTGAGATGTCTCGGTAGGCAGAAGCGTTTGCATTGCAAGACTGATGGCATCTGTTGGGTACCTCACTCCCATGGTGGAAAGAGAAAACCAGCTCCCCAAACGCTGCTGTGAGAGTACTAACCAGCTCTGCACGGCCAAGAAGAAGAATGCAGGGCTCAGGGCTACCTAAGGAAGCACTTAGAGGCATGTGCATGGGCAGAGCTGGTTCTGATGGGAGGTAAAGCTGGACATGCTGACTGTTCTAGAAACACACAGAGAGCGTGCGAGCCTTCGGGGAGCTGGCAGGAATTCTGGTCGGGATCTCAGACAAGCAGGTTCCTACCGAGTCCATCTGGTCTTCATGAGCCTTGACTATATGGCTGGCCTCCTTGGTCTCATCATTCAAGTATAAATCCTGGTGGTAAAGCACAAAGAAACTCAAGAATCATTTCCCTTCTAAGTTTGAAAGCTCATGGCTTAGATGCAAACGACTCAGGCCTCTCAAGTGGAAAGAATTACTGACCGCCCCGTGATCTGGCTGAAAGCTCTACAGGGAGAATTAAAATTCCATTCTCCCAGGCATATAGGGGTCAGAGGTCTCCTAACCCAAGCCTCTTTCCTAGCACCTTCAACATACAGTAAGGCCACAGGCTACTAAGAAGGCCACTCCTCCAGCCTGGAACTCCGACCTGAAGGGACATCTGGCTTTGCTGGAATTGCTTAACGCATAAGTTACAGGAGACAACGATTAACACTTGCTGTTTTGATCATGGACTCGCCAGTTTTAGCGTGAACCTCCCAAGGCCTATCTGAAAACCACTGGAATAGATAAAATGGATAAGTTCTGTCCTTCCTCTGCAGGATCCGGGCCTACCAGGTGACAGCCACCATGCAAGCTCAGTGAGAGCGGAAGAACTTGACCCAGCTGTGGGGAATGATGGTTTGCAGGAGAGGTATGGCCCTGTCAATCCACTGTTCAGCTCCAACATTGGTAATCAGGAGTTGATGATGGCGCCTTCTTTGACATGCTGACGGGCCTGCTCGTCCATCACCACTTTACTCATGGGATGAGAAGAAGAGTTGAACACAGAGTTCCGTCTGTCCCCAGAGGAGGCCCAGTCTGGTCCAGGGAGAGGCAAGCGTTCTAAACATCGATGCTGGGGAGGAGGAGCCTTGAGCAAAGCTGCCTAGGAGGTCCCGCACTCACAGCTAGCTGAGGTCTTGGGTCAGAAGCAGCACCTGAGGATGTTACATCTGGACGGAACAACGTGCATGTGCAGGAGGTCTTTATATAGGGTTTCTTGCAGAGGCGGAGGGGGCAGCTGCCTTCCAGGTTGGCCTGGGATTGGTGGGATTTTCGTACGTTGTGCGTGGGGCAAGCTCAGGGATTGGTGGGTCTGGATGTGTTGTCTGGCAAGGGAAGACAGTTTATCAGAAACCTGACTACTCAAGCGCTTCTAGAAACTACTGAGATTCCTCCTACCTGGCTCCCCATCCCACAGCGGTCAGAAGCAACGTTGGCAAAACAGGAAATGGCAGGATCTTTCAGACACTCAGAAACAGCTACCCATTGGCAATGGGAGAGGGCAGAAGTGGGCACTGGCCTCTTTCTCGGATTGTTGGAGAGTTAGTTGGGCTTCTGGTAAAGACAGCCGCTCCTTGTCTCCATGAACTAGGATGGTCCAGAGAAGGAAGAACTTGGCAATGAGATACTAACTCTCCGACCACATTTCCAAAGCTGACAAGGCTTTCAGTGGAGAAAGTGGAGGAGGGAGGCCTCTGGAAAATCTTCTCCCTC